GGGTTTTTTTTTACATAAAAGCTAGGAACTAGATTTCGTTTAATGAAAAATTTGCTGTTCACATTCTTTGTACACAAAAAGAAAATGAAACAATCGCGAAAATAGATTGACTCAATTCGACTCGATTGCCAATACGAAATGACTCGAAGATGACTCGACTCCAGAAATGGCTTGACTCGCCCAATCCTGTTTCAAACTGATTCTTAACTTATCATTCAGTTATAAGAGCTTGTTTTCGTTTAACTATTCGTAGTCCATCACGTTGCTAACACTATTGTTTTAAGTGATAAATTCTCTGAATAAAAATCTCTAGAGCTGACTGTATCAGATATCTAGAAAACCTAAACATACGTATAACGGATCAAAATTGCATCTAAAAAAGTGCATTATCTCGAGGTATATGCTATTTTATTTTCTTCAGTCACCTAATTGACATATGATTTTGCCCCAACAATTATTAGAATTCTTCTTGTATTGTGTTCAGCACTAATTTTCTCAAAAAAATAATTTCGAACTAGATAGTAATTATAGTACAATTTCACTTTACATGCGTATTGTTTAACTTCGCGAACATTTCTATCTGATTTCCAGTATGAAACCTTTCTCTACATTAGTGCACGTAAAGTGTGTCACTGTATCAGTAAAAAATATACAGAAATTTCGTTTCTTTTTCTATTCTTACGAAAAGTCATGCCGTCGGATAATTCGCTTGTCCATCACTCGATAACATACGTGGATAACAAATAGAACGAAACAGTTTTTTTCGTAACGTGTGATCATCGATGTTTTTCCTCTCCTACTAAATGAATGATTTCATTCTGTCGTCAGTCCTGAATATATTAATTTTTGAAACAAATCATTTGTTTTAGCTGTTAAAAATAATCATTATATATCAACTTCAAAGAAAATTTAGTTTCTTTTGGTAATCGGTAAAGATTTTATCTACAACTTTGTTCAACCATTTATTTAGAAAAATTAATATTTTTTAACAGATTTTTTTATAAACGAAATCTGCATCAAGTGGCACACGATTTTGTTTTCTTTGCGTTGATAATTCGTAAGGATTTTAAAAATCTTTTTACTCTTTTTCTTTTAAGTTAATGGTTTCATTTAGATTTGTTATTAAGTAAATTTTAATCAAGTGTAGAAACATCCTGTTTGTTTATGTCATTAGAATAGGTAAACACTTTTTAACGAATATTTCTATATCATTTATTCAAACCAATGGTTTCTTTTAGACTTTTACTATCTGAATTGAAATTTATTGGGATATAGTTAGCTGTTTTTCTGGACGCACTGAGTATTCTATTGAGCAATTTTTCTTGACATACGTTTTCTTTTAGAAGATGGAAGTATCAAATGATAATGTTTCAAGAAGAGGCAATTTTTATGTCGATGAATTTTGTTTAAGAGTAAATGGTATTATCATGATGTTTGTGGGTTGGATTACATTAGCTCATTCCATCACGTGTGCTGCTTCCTATCAAGTAATTGCTGCAATTAGGGGTGGCACATTTTCTTTACTGATGCGTTACTTTATTGAGTAAAGCAACGCTTTCAAATATCACCGTATGAGTGACGAACAACCGAAAATGTATTGTTTTATCACCTTCCGGACACAATGCGACTAAAGCATTACTATATTATGCGTTACTGGTAACGAGTAACGCATGCGTTATTGCGTTACTGGTAACGAGTAACGCATGCGTTATTGCGTTACTGGTAACGAGTAACGCAAGCGTTACTGCGTTACTAGAAAAGTAACGCAAAAAAGCGTTAAAGTAACGCAAATAACGCTGTGTTACTCGTTACAAAAGCTATGAAAAATAAACGCATCTCGTTAGTAGTTACTGATAACGAGTAATGCATGTGTTATTGCGTTACTGGTAACGAGTAACGCATGCATTATTGCGTTACTGGTAACGAGTTAACGCGCGACGAGAAATAACACGCAGCGTTATTTGCGTTACTTTTCTAGTAACGCAATAGCGCATGCGTTACTCGTTACCAATAATGCATGCGTTACTCGTTACCAGTAACGCAATAACGCATGCGTTACTCGTTATCAATAACGCATGCATTACTCGTTACCAGTAACACATGCGTTACTCGTTACCAGTAACGCAATAACGCATGCGTTACTGGGTTACCTGTAAAGAAACGGTAAAGCGCCACCCCTAGCTGCAATTGTTTGTGGGTGTTTATTTGGTTATTTGGGAAACACCGCGCTAAATCGCGTATGTTGACCTGAAAGCATCAATTTCAACTGCAGTTAAATATGAAGAATCTTTAGCATATGTAAAGAAGCATGAACTTGGAAAAATCTTTTTGCAAGACGGAGTTATTTTTCATGGTGTCAATATGAAGTATTTCCAAGAACAATATAAAGAATTAATTTTTTTAATAACTAATGTTAACAATTTTACTGTTAAACATGATGATGAATTAGGTAGATTATCAAAGGCAACCCTGGATATGAATTTATTTATTTCGGTATTACCGCTGGTGTTTAATTTACCATGGACTTCCAATGTTATTTTAATTATTGGTGCTATATTTACAAGATTAACAATAAATGAATCATCGGTGACGATCGCAATTGATTCTTTTCGTATAAGTGAATCTATGGGTATTTCACTAATAGGCATTCATGTTGTCAGATTTATTTCATATCTTTTGAATTGGAAAAAAACTAACTGAATAAAATAAACTCATATTTCTGAAAGAAAAAAGTTCTGTTTTTATTTAACATCGATGAAGTTTCCAATTACAACAGGCACGTACCGAAGGAGGGCCCGGGCCACACACACATACCCTCAGCTTTTGAATACCCACTCACTATTTAAGTTCTGTTGAGTGTTTTCCTGTCATTTTTATCTGTTCACGATAGAAAATGGGCGTCAATGATGCAATATCTACTATTTCATCACAAAGTCAACTGAATTATCAAATTATTCGAGATTAGTTCTGAGGTAGATCGTCCACCGAACTACAAAATGAGTGAGAAATGCTCATTCTCTATCATCGATGCCTTCGATCGAGTCAAAAAACGGTAGCGTTCAGAAGTTACACCGTGCGATACAATCAATGTCATTGTGGATTCTACAACAACGACAACGAATGACTGTGAATGAGTTTCTCTAGAAGTTACGATATCTTTTGAACCTTCCACCAGTGGAACTGAAGTCACCAATACACAACTAGATCTTATATTACAGCCAAACTCAGCAGACATTTGCGTTGCCACTGATTCTAATAGTGTCTATGACCAGATGGTAAAATGTATGGTCGTTTTGTATTATCAAGATGACCTATCTAGTAGCGACTTGGTTATTCGTGAAGGAGAGTTTGATCTATACGAACTTCATTGGAAGAAATCGATCGATATTCCAACAACTATTACTGAAACACTTTCTTGTTTAACCCTCGTAATCCAAACCAGGGTCTAAATAGACCCTGTCCTCGCAAAATAAGAAAAGTTCATCTCATTTTTATCTTATTTTCAGAGAACAAGCTCTAAATGACTAAAGTTTATTGAATGAATGTCCGACTATCCAACTGTCTCTATTCGTACCTCTTGGGGCTTTAAGCTTTCAGTGCGTCAAACTGTTTTCGGATGGATATCCTTTTTTGCACAGGGTCTAAGTATACCTTGGTTGAGAGTACAAGGGTTAAAGCCCTTCCTGCAACTTTTCGCCAACATTTATGTTTTCCTCGAAATCTTTGGTGTTTTACCGGTTTCAATGGCAACGGCTGTAATCGAGTCGAATTGAGTCAATCTATTTTCGCGATTGTTTCATTTTCTTTTTGTGTACAAAGAATGTGAACAGCAAATTTTTCATTAAACGAAATCTAGTTCCTAGCTTTTATGTAAAAAAAAACCC